AGTGGCAGCCATTTTTGTTACTCTTCTTCTGTGTATTAAACTGTGTCGTTTTGGATGATAATTCTTCAGACAAATCTGCTCTTCTTGAGTTTAAGAAGTCTGTCTCGGATCCTTCAGGGCTTTTACCTATTTGGACCGAAACTTCCCATCACTGTTCATGGTCTGGTGTTACATGTGACAAAAGCTCCAAGGTTTTATCTCTTAACATAACTGGTTATGGAAAAGGGAAAAATGGTAATTTCAAAAATACTGCTGCTTCTGTTTCGTTTTCTTGTTCTGAATATAGTTTATTTCCATTTTACGGATTTGGTATTAGAAGGAATTGTGGGGGAAGTAGTGGGAGTTTGTTTGGTAATTTGTTGCCTTCTATTGGGAAATTGAGTGAACTTAGAATTTTATCACTTCCTTTTAATAGATTTGGTGGTGAAATTCCTACTGAAATTTGGGAGTTGGAGAAATTGGAAGTACTTAATTTAGAGAACAATTTGTTATCTGGGTCATTGCCTGTTAGAGTTTCTGGGGTAAAGAATTTGAGAGTTCTTCATTTGGGTTTTAATAATATTAGTGGAGAGATACCAATTGGCTTTCAAGTTCGGAACAAATGGAGATATTGAATTTGGCTGGTAATCTTGTGAATGGAACCATTCCCGGAATTGTTGGAAGGTTTAGAGGTGTTTACTTGTCATTTACGCAACTCGGTGGGTTGTTGCCAGCTGATATTGGTGTAGGTTGTAAGCTTGAGCATTTGGATTTGTCGGGGAAGTACTTCGTCTGGCAGATTCCTGCTAGTTTGGGGAAGTGTAGTCAGTTGAGGTCATTGTTGTTGTATACGAATTTGTTGGAGGAAGGGATTCCACATGAACTTGGTCAGCTTGAGAATCTTGAAGTGTTGGACGTTTCGAGTAATAGTTTGAGTGGTCCGATACCTGTTGAGCTTGGGAATTGTTCTGGATTGACTGGGCTTGTGCTTTCAAATATGTTTAATCCATATGATTAAAGGGGATTCAAGTTCTGCAATGATGATTTTAATTTTTATCAAGCTGGGATTCTTGATGAAATTACAAAGCTTTCAAAGCTGAGGGTATTATGGGCTCCAAAGGCAACGCTTGAGGGCAACTTGCCAAGTGATTGGGGTGCTTGTGATAACTTGGAGATGGTAAATTTGGCTCAAAATTTTTTTGCTGGGGAAATTCCTATTGGTCTTAGTCTCTGCAAGAAGCTGCAGTACCTTGACTTAAGCTCAAATAAGCGCCTTACTGGAGAGCTTATTGAGGAACTTGCAGTTCCTTGTATGAGTGTGTTTGACATCAGTGAAAATTCCTTGTCAGGTTCAATCCCTAGATTCTACAACCGTGGATGCCCTGATGTTCTTACCTCAGATTCATATTCCTTTGAACCCTTCAGCCCAACATCCGCATATTTATCATTTTTGGCAAGTAAAGCTCAGGTTGGAACGTGTTTTGAATTTTTTGGAGGAGATGGTGGTCCTGTTGTGTTTCATAAGTTTGGACATAACAACTTTACTGGCAGTGTTTTTTCAATGCCAATTGCGCCACAAAGATTAGGGAAACAGATTTCTTATGCATTTTATGCTGGAGAAAGCTTGCTCGCAGACCATTTCCTGAGAATTTGTTTGAGAACTGCAACAGATTGGATGCACTTTTTGTTAATGTTAGCTACAACACAATGTCTGGTCAGATTCCAGCAGAAATCAGTAAAATTTGCAAATCTCTGAAATTGCTGGATATGTCTGTGAATCAAATAACTGGGCCCATTCCCCCTAGTGTTGGCGACTTAATTTCACTTGTTTCTCTTAATTTGAGCTGGAACCTGTTACAAGACCAGATTCCAATCAGTTTTGGCCAGATGAAGGATCTCAGGCATCTTTCTTTGTCTGGCAACAAGTTGTCCGGATCTATTCCTTCGTTCTTTGGGCAGTTGCAATCTTTAGAACCCTGGACTTGTCTTCAAATTCTCTTTCTGGTGAAATTCCTGAAGGTCTGGTCAACTGGAGAAGCTTGACTATTCTTCTGCTCATTAACAACAAACTCTCTGGGCATATTCCCTCTGGTTTGGCAAATGTTACCATGCTCTCTGCATGCAATGTGTCCTTCAATAACTTGTGTGGGCGACTGCCATCAATTAACAATTTGATGAAATGCAGCAGTCTTTTGGAAACCCTCTTCTACAGCCTTGCCATGTGTACACCTTAATGCCATCTTCGGATCAGGCAACAGCGGGTGATTCACAAAATTATGCTGCATCACCACTGGAATCCATAACCCAAAGGAACAGAAACAATGGTTTCAATTCCATTGAGATAGCATCAATAACATCTGCTTCATCTATTGTTTCAGTTCTTCTGGCTCTTGTTATTTTATTCTTCTACATCAGGAAGTGGAATTCAAAATCCAAAATTATGAGCACCACGAAAAAAGAAGTGACGATCTTCACAAACATTGGGGTCCCATTGACATTTGACAGTGTCGTGTGGGCCACAGGAAATTTCAATGCTAGCAACTGTATTGGGAATGGAGGTTTTGGGTCAACTTATAAAGCTGAGATCTCACCTGGAATTTTAGTGGCAATAAAGCGGCTTGCAATTGGACGATTTCAAAGCTTTCAACAGTTTGATGCAGAAATAAAAATCCTTGGGAGGTTGCGCCACCCAAATCTTATTACTTTAATTGGTTATCATGCCAGTGAAACAGAGACATTCCTTGTATACAATTATTTGCCTGGTGGTAACTAAGAGAAGTTTATTCATGAGAGATCCACAAGAGCTGTGGATTGGAGGATACTTCACAAGATTGCTTTGGAAATAGCCCATGCTCTTGCCTACCTACATGATCAATGTGTCCCATGTATTCTCCATTGTGACGTCAAGCCCAGCAATATCTTGTTGGATAATGATTACAATGCATATTTATCAGACTTTGGTTTGGCCAGACTTTTGGGAACTTCTGAAACTCATGCTACCATAGGTGTTGCTGGAACTTGTGGGTATGTTGCTCCGGAGTATTCAATGACTTGCCGTGTTTCTGATAAGGCTGATGTTTTCAGTTATGGGGTGGTGCTCCTTGAGTTGCTTTCAGATAAGAAAGCTTTAGATCCCTCGTTTTCTCCTTATGGAAATGGTTTCAACATTGTTCAGTGGTCTTGCTTGCTCTTGCGACAAGGTCAGGCCAAGGAGTTCTTCACTGCAGGGTTATGGGATGCAGGTCCCTAGAAAGACTTGGTAGAAGTTCTGCACTTGGCAGTCGTATGTACTGTCAATTCTCTCTCTACCAGACCTACAATGAAGCAAGTAGTACGACGGCTGAAGCAACTTCAACCCCCATCATGTTAGTGTTTCTAGGAGGTAAGCCCCACACTCCGTCATAGTCCCTCGCTGCCCTTTGGTAGAGTTCTAAGCTGTAGTTATTCCCACCTGTAAATTGTAATACAGTTTTGCCCCCATTTTTCTGATGCGATAGGGGTTTACTGATGACTCTGCAGAAGAATGCAGATATATATATTTTTATCCAAGTTGTACACTTGTATCTGAGTTTCATTTGATGTCCAATAAAACAATAGAATAGTTTTCCTCTTTACCAGTTCAGTGTCATGCAAATATCCTCTCTTGTGAACGTCCTTTGTGCAACTGTAGAAGTGATGCTGAACAGTTGAAGTTACAGGGTGGGAAACTATACGCTGGAAATTTTCCATTATGATGAAGTGTTAGGCAATGCTAACATCTTAGAAATTCAACTTGCTTTTCTTAAGTAATCTGGCCTATACAGTTTAAACGTCCTGCTTTAGGGAATCATTCGAAGACTAGATAATAAGCAATGAGAATTTTTTTCAAGTATGGAATTTAGAGTTTAACTTAGTCGGTTCATGCAGTATCTTTAAGAGATGGTATTTAGCAGGTTGGGGAGTATCTACAACCTCTTTCTTATTATGAGACTGCAATCGCCTAACTGTTGACGGCTTTGATTACAAATGCTTCCACTAAATGTTAATTTTGTACCATGATTCCATTGCCTAGTGGTATTGTTGTCCTCCTAAAGTGCAAATATAATCTGTGTATCAGATAATCTTCAAAATTCAAAGGCTAGTACATTTAATTTCGGGCCTTAAAATCGACAGATTATGGCATTGTGATCTGCAGCACTTTTCTCTGTCCAAGCTTCTTTTTCCCCTATGACCAAGTTTAAGAAATAAATAATAGGATGTTTTGTTTCCTGTTGCAAGATTTCATCCTTAAATTAATAACTTTGCGCCGTTGCAAATGCATTCCATGAATAGTTATCTGACTTGGTAGAGTTGTAAAAAGAAACGATTGATTATGGTGGACGACGTTTTTCCATTATGTGGGAGATTTAAAGCTAAAGCAGGGTCTCTTACACTTGAGATTCCATTGAGGCAATTGGTCACAGTTCCAGTTTGATGGTTTTTCTTGTGTCATAGCAGCCTCCAAATGCCACCGCTAGAGGAAAAGGCTTTGAAACCAATCGTATTAGACATTTTGTGAAGACAAAATCCTAAGATTTTATAGAATATGAGGTTCAGGATTTATGTTGTAAGAATCCTGTGTTGTATAAACAGAAGATAGTGGTCGTGGATTTTTTGTGTATTGCATCATATCATAGTGCATGAAATGGAGCAATCAAACTCAGCTGCCCACCCATCATAACAATGCCATTTTCGGTCAGGTTTGCGATAACTATGCCATTGTATTGTTCCTTTTTTCGCACTTAGATGCCTGCTCCTTCTGGATGTATTTGAAACCTTCAATTCTTTTTCTTTCTCTTAAAAAAAGTCTTGAATAATTGGTTTTGCCAAATGCATCTTCTTTTCACTTCAATTTTTCCATTGATGAGTCTGCTGTTTCTGATGTCCAGTGAAGGAGATCCAAGGATTCCTTTCACTTACCATGTGATACTACTGGGAGCATTTTTTTGTTCTGAATGAGGATTGAATTGAAGAGAGAATGGAATAGTTCAGATCAGATGTCTTTGAATTTTCCATAGAGAAGCTTCATTTTCTAAAAAGAGTTAATAGCCTAGTCCAGAATAAAAGAAAAAGTGATTCTGAAAATAATAAAGGAGAAAATTCATCAACCTTTTCTCTGCATTCCTCCTTTTTCATGGATTTGCATCAGAAAAGTAAAGAAGGGATAACAACTATATGCTTTAGTGGGTGTGCTACATCACCGCCACCGGCATGCTTGACAAATTCAGCTGGGGAGAGGAAGCTGCCATGGCAAACACAGACTATTCTCACCTCTTCACCCTTTCGATATCTGTAAAGAAAGCCTTCTACTCTTTTCCCATTGGGACCATCTCCAGTTGTTGACACACAAGGCATATCCTCCAAAATGTTCCTCACCACTTCCTTAACCCTCTCTTCAGCTACTGCTGATTGACAAGGCTGATTCTTCGTCACAACTCCGGCTAACTTTTCTGATTTTTGAGCCATGATTTTTCCAGGGATGATGATCGGTTTCTGCTGGGTCTCTGCTGCAGATTGCACACTAGTAGGGCTTCTTGCTTGGGGGTTTTTGTAAGCTCCTGTAATTTAATGCAATATATGTGAGCTCAAGCTGAATGCAAGATTAAGATAACAACAAACAAAGCCATTTAATCACTACGCAGGGTCATATTGGCACCGTACTTTATCCAACATCATATCATCAGCAATTTACTAGAGGTAGAAGCATAACATCAATAACCTGCTCCTTGCGTTTTTTTCCCTTCATAGGCTTCATAGCATAAAAATACCAAAATCCATTTTCTAATGAGATGATCACATCACATTTCATTCTGTCAACTAGAAAATTTGTTGATCTTATCGAAAGGCATTGGCAGAGGAAGTTAGAATTGAGATATGATAGTTTTGTTACTGATAGTAGAATTAGTTTTCAGTCTCCAGCACATATTTCTCACCCTTCCAGGCCAAATTTAGACTTTAAGCTATCAAAAAGCTCAAAGGAAGCACGAAGTTACGTCAAGAGCTTTATTGATCCTGACGAGGTTGCCAATAAATAGTTCCTGAATCACCTATACCATTATCAGATACTACAACTTCCTTTCCGTTTAAACCTCATCACGAAGCCGATTTTCGCCTAGAAGAATGGAAAAATAGGCACTTCCATGTCCGCAGGTCCAAATGATATTCACTAACTTCAAACTCCAGAAAATAGCTATTTACTCTTGTTTACTAAAACTAGGAAGCAGTATAAAGAACAGTAATAAACCACTGCCACTTATTCCATTATTCTTCACTTGGATTTAATTTGTATCTTAGGAAGTAAAGTACAATTTTAACTAATGTCCTAACCTCATTTTCCATTGTTTATCATCGGATCGTAGGTAAAAACTACGATATCCTTTGGTCAACTATAACATAACAGCAATTCAAAGATGACCAGTCAACTATGAAAACAAGAACCTAAAAGAAAAGCATTCAGAGACAACTGTTACAGATTCCTATAATCTGATTAATTTTACGTATGGCATTTTTACTAGACAACTAGTCTAGCATCATCAACAATCAAAATTTTGAATAATATCAAAACAGTTTTTTTTTTTTTTTTTTTTTTAAAGAGCAAAGATCCTACGCAAATCCAAGATCAGTCATAGACACCACATGAACCTACCAGTCAAGCCAAATGACTTACATCTAAATACAATTCAAACATGTCACCCTAATCAAGCCTAAAAGTGGTGAAATGCTGAAAATTGAGTATAATTCAACATGATAAAGAATCCTTTAACTTATGATGGCAAGAGAATCTCAGTTTTCATGCCTTTCATATCACTATTAATTAGGGGAAAAAAAAAAAGGACAAAACAAACACTTGCCTGACCAGTGTCAAGATCAAATAGCAAATACTAGGACATGAATACTAGTAAAAATAACATCATTATTCCACACATACAAATCAAAACTAAAAACATGAGAAAAAGTTTTTCTTTGAGGAGCAAAATAAAGGGGGCAAAATTTTTTGATACCTTGAGCTGGTTGGCTCTCAAATTCTGATATCCCGGAGGAACCACTTCCTTGGGATCCAATTGAACCCTGTGAACCACCATTTACCCAACTAGCGCCATAACCAGCCTCTTCTCCCTTATCTTCTTCACAATTCTCTTTAGCAAAACCCCCTCTATTCCTTTCCCTTACAGCTTTCAAGTTCTTCTGTTTCTCGGATCTCTTTCTTTTAGCTTCCATTCTCCTTAAACTTTGCAACTCCTTCCTCTTCCTCCACTCTTCCTCTGTCTCTGTAGGCAAAGAACATGTCCTCACAAGAGAACCACAAGCCATGGGGAACAAAGAAGAAGAAGACTCATCAGTGTCTTTCTTTGTTGAGTTGTTGATGAAATCTGGTATTGAACATGATCTAGTGAGTTTTTTGGCTCTTGGGTCAACCCCAAAACGACCATTCAATGAAAGTCCTAAGCTTAACTCAATCTTCTCTTCTTCTTCACCATTTTCTTCTCCTTCATGATCTCTGTGAGATAAATGGTTCTTTGATAACATGAATCTTTGTAGTAGATCCCTTGGAAGATTGGCCGGTTGCATGGAAATGTTTTGTTGGGTTTCTTTCTTTCCAAAATCCTCAGCTTTCGACATTGAAAAACAAACCAAAATCAACAGAAACTAAAAAAAGAAAAAGATTGACGAAATTAAATTTTATAAAACATGAAATCATTATTTGAAAAGATGAAATCTTGACCCCGAAGGAAACCTCAAAGTTCTCATTTTTTTTACATTCAAAAAACCAATCAAGGAAAAAAAAAAGAAAAAAGAAATCCTCAAGAAACTGAAGGGAAAACAAGGAAGAAAAGAAAGGAAAACAAGTGGATTGAATGACAAGAATGCCATCGAGAAGATGCGAGTCATGCAAAAAAGACACGTGGCGGACATGAAGAGCACGCGACAGAAAGAAAATGACCCCCCCATGTTGCTGTTTCAAACAAAAACAAGAAACCTAAGGTGACTTCGAACGAGATGTCGCCACGTCATTCGTTTCTTTAAACATAACTCTGTCGTCTTGCCTTATCACACGTGTCGTACTAAAATGTGGAGTCTTACTGCCACGTGTCAATGGAAGGAGAAAAAAAATCTGTCCTTGGCTTATCTGTTTAGCTATTTATCTTTCATTTTGGGGAAATTGCAGTTAAAGTGGTTTGACATTTTTATTTACACCCCATAACTTTAGTGTTTTTCATTTGAGACATTGATACGTGTGGATTGCACTCCATTAAATAATATTTCAAAAATAAAATAATTATATTTGAAATTTTAATTCTTTAAATCAATTTTTTGCCAAAGAAAATCAATTTATGTTTAAAATGGAATAAATTCATAGGAAAATATATCTTTATATTTTAAAGTTTTTAAAATTTTAAAAATATTATTTTAAAGGGGACAAAATTTAGGTGAAATTTTTTAGATAAAATTTATAAAATATTTTCTTAAAAATTATTTAATAAAAATTTTAATAAAAAATATAAACTATTAAATTGATAAATTTCAATATTAAAATCAATAATATAAAAATTTTTAGAAATATTATTTATAATTTAAATTTGATAAGTATTTATTCAACAATAAAAATTTTATCAAAATTTTTACTAAAATACCTATCTAAAAAATATATCAATATTTATTTTTTTCAAATTTATACACCTAATCTATTTAATAAGATTTTTCAATTTTTCCTTTTTATTTTAATTTTATTTAGTCATTTTTAATAAAAAAAATCATAAACTTCACTTAAAAAACTTTATTGAAATCTTTTTTTTATTGACAAGGAAAGGTAGAAATATGTGTAATTACCTGCTATTATTGTGTAAATAATAAATTTTTTCTCTTTTTATGTGATCATTCGTATATTTATACAATTTTTATTTTATATTAAATACATATAAAATATTAAAATTATTATATCATAATTAATATCAATAATCTAAACATGAAATATATTTTTTTATTTTATCAAATTCATATAAAATTTTTGTTAAAATATTAAATTATATATTTTTTAATATTTTTATATAATTTTTATATTATATATTTTATTGTATAATCTCATATTAAAAATGAATGCAAAAGAAGGGATATATTTGCAAAATTTCTAAACTACAGGGATGTAAGAGTATTAAGACCTTTTCTGTTTTTTCTATAAAATTTCGGGACTTAGCTTTAACTGATGATGATGTGGCCAAAAAAAAATTTAGCCGATGTGAGAAAGAGAAAGTGACACGTGGGTCACAACTCTTCTTTTTAAGGTTTTTGTCTGAACGTGTCTGTTTATGGACATGTACCCGCTACAATTACTTGACACGTAATCATTGTGGTTTTTTGTAATTAATGTAATATCCATGGGTATTTAATTAATTACCCACGAATAATTACTGAATTAAAATAAGAAAACCGAATATTTTAATTAAATCTTAATCTTATGCAATGTAGTAAGAATAATATTTTTTGTTATCTTATGAACTTTAATTCTTCTGAAAGTGTGAAATTAAAGAGAAAATTTTAATTTAAAAATTAATATATATTTTAGTTTCATTTTACATCTTTAAATTTAGAAGTTGTTAAAAAATAAATTACTCCATCCATATCTAATATTTATTTTTTCATTTTCATGAAATTTTTAAAAAATGAATTTTGTTCATTTAATATTAAATTTTTATTTTGTAAAAATAGATTTTCCACAATTTTTATTTTCAAAAATAAAAATATAAAAAATAATTTTAAAATACAAAAAATTGTGATGTGTTAAAAAAGGAGAATATAATTTTGGAATACATGAAAAAAATGATAAAAAAATAAATTGCAAAGACTAATTAATAAAAAAAATAACATCACATTTTTAATTGAGGAAATAATTAAAAAGTATCATACATTTCAACATTAATTTTTTACATAAAACTAGGATGTATTGATATATACAAGAAACTTTCAATAGAATCAATTTTATATAGCAATTTATTGCATCATTTTAATTTCTCATTAAAAGAAGTAGAATATAAATTGTTTTGAGTAAATTTGTAAAATTGGTAATAATTATTCATTGATTTTGAGAAAGGGGACATCCAACAAGAGGAAAATCCCCTTAAATCAAGAAAAATCATTACACAACTCTTTTGAGTTTGACATGACGTTTTGGTATCATTATCAAAATATCAATTATTGCTTTCAAAATTTTACAATATTCCAACTTTGAAAATTATATCTGATAAGATATGACAAGTGAAACTTAGATGTAGAAAGATAAAAAATTAATAAATAAATACATTATAGGGTGAACTTAAATTTTATTTGCTTCTTTGGTGGTCAAAATCGGTGTCATTAATGGATTAGCCTTAGATTCCAATCTTTTGGTCTTAAATAAATTTCTTCTAATGCATATCATCGTCATCATTCAAATAGAGTATTTTAATAAATATAAAATTTATTTTAATTAATTTATAAAATTATTTTTAAAAAATAATATTCAATAGATCTAAAATTTAATTCTTAATATTTGTAATCTTTTTTTTTTTTTCAAAATATAGCTTTTTTCAATACTCAAAAATAAAAACATTTCAACCCAAGAAAAAATTATCCTAGGTTAACAAAATTAGAATAAAAAATAATTAGATTTTTTAAATATCAATTAAAGAAATTTCCTTATTAATCTTAATATTAAATTATAAATGAATGTTCTATTAAATAAAATAGATCTTAAAAATATTATTTTTTCTTTTAATTTAATAAAATAATCTATTAATAAATAGTTTAAAAACAATGGTTTTAATTATTTTTAACTAATATTTATAGACAAAGGTTAAATTATGGGATCCTACTTAACATATACATCTTAATATAAAGTTGGAATAACTTATTCATCTCAAAATTTTTAAAAATAAAAAAAAAAAATAATACGGTACAAGATGTGTATAAATTCTATGTATATGTGATTGTGGATATTATTATTAATATTATGAAGAATTAATTTTGATATATTAATGATGTCATTTTTAATTTTATAAATAAAATTAAAAAAATGATACTTTTTATATTAATTTTTAAAATATATTTTTAAAAAATTATTTTATTAACTTCGTTTATGCAAAATTTAAAATCTTTATTCGGGGTAAATAAAATAATTTTTTACTACGAACTATTAAAAAGGAAAAGTCAAAAAACAACAATACATGAAAAAAAAAAAAAGGGGGCATACGAATCTGCGTAGAACACGCAAAAAATCAGAGAAGATCGGCCAGTGGGGCCGAAAAACCCAAGTTGCATACTTTTTCGAATTTACTTTTCTCTCGAGGGAACGACTTTTTCGGTTAGTGATCTGGGTTCGTGACACGTGGCTCCAAGTTGTAAGGAGGTGCACGTGCCGAAATCCAGTTGCAGGAAAACAGCTAAGCAGGCTGTCAAGTTGCGGGGGGAAAAAGGGCAACATGTTGAGGAGTTGATGGGAGACAGAAGTGATGCTGTAATGCCTCTATCCATCAGAATATTTTTTATTTTTTTGAATTCACTTCTTATATTTTTTGGGTTAAAATAAAATAGCTTATGTATTATAATTTTTTATCAGTATATTTAAAAAAATAAAATTTTAATTTTATTATTTATTTTGATATTTTAAATTGATGTTATTAATCAATTTACTGATATAATTCGAAAATCCAATAAAATATCAACATATATAAAAAAGTTCAATGAATATCATAGTATCAATTATCTTGTTAGTGTTAAAAATTTTTAAAGAATTTTAAAAATTTTAAAAAATTTTTAAAACAATCTACAATATTTTAAAAATTCAAAATATTGAAATATTTTTAAAATTATAAAAATTAAAATTTTTGAGAATTTAAAATTTTTAAAAATGTATAAATTTTAATAAAAATCTAAAAAATTAAAAAAATTTGAAAAATTAAAAATATGGAAATTTGAATAAAAATAAAATTTTCTTAAAATTAAAAAAATCACAAAACTTAAAATCAAAATTAAAAAAAAATTTTTGAAAATTTTTTAAAATTAAAAAATCTACAATTTTTTTAAAAAAGCTAATTTTTTTTAAATTCTAAAAGATTTTAAAAAATTGGAAAATTAAAATATTAAAAAATCTGAAACATTCTTTAAAAAATATTAAAAAATTAAAAAATTTTGAAAAAAATAAAAATTAAAAAAATTTTCTAATTAAAAATTTTTGAAAAATACAAAATTTTTTTGAATAATTCAAAAATTATATAAGAAATTAAAATTTTAAGATTCATAAAAATGAAAATTTTCATAATTTTTAGATTTTTTCAAAAAATTTTAGATATTTTTACTTTCAATTTTTAAAGTTTTTTGGGATTTTTTTTTTGCATTTAAAAAAATTATTTTTATTAAAATTTTCATTTTTGAAAATTTTGCAAGATTTTTGGATTTTTTAATTAAAATTTTCAGATTTTTTTTTAAAATTTTTTAAGTTTGCATGTTTTTTAAATTTTAAAATATTTCAATTGGTGAATTATTATAATTTTAAAAAATATTTCAAAAATATTCAAAAATTTTCAGAATTTTTTTGAACGTTTTTGAATTTTTTAGAAAATTTTTTTAATATTGACATGATAATTAATGGTGTGATGTTATTTAATTTTTTTTACATATATTAATATTTTATTAGATATTTATATTATATTAGTGGAGAATAAGTAAGAATAAAAAGTAGTAACAATAATAAACCCAAAAGTATAAATTTTAGTTAATTTAAATGACAAAGAGAGCTTAGGTTTTTTTATTGCTTAAGTTTGAATTCTTTTAGAAGTTGTAAAAAGATATTCTTATTATGAATTCTTCAAACGTGATCTAAATAAATTTTTTAAATCGATATAAAAAAACACTGGATAAAACT